ATCCCCAATATGCTTGGGTAAGTTACACAGAGACTTTTGCAAGCAAGCAGTTTATTCCATCACTTCTATGATTCTGATCTACGAACACTGCAAAATCACTTGTATGTATATGATCTATTAACCATTTATAATGCTGCGTCTTTTCTTTTATCATTAAACCTTTAGTTTTTAGTTACTAAAGGATTGGCATCAATATGATTATTGGGTAAGATCTGAGTTATATATTGACCTGGCTAAGTGGCTGATCTCTTGGGATCGGAAGGACCCTATATCTGATTAAATTGGTTTTCAGCAACCATTTATCATATAGTCCAGTTTCTGGGTGGTGAGCCAAGGGCTGGAATGCCGAAGGAGACTGCATTTTTGACTTATTTTTAACCAGTGCGGTGAGACAGAAGTTCACTTTTGTTCCTGGCTTAGTATAATCTAATGATAGAATAACCTATTTCTCAGCAGTTTGTTCTGAATTTGGCACTCTCACTGTGCCTCATTGAGGCGTGGTGACAGTAGGGTCCACAGTGTGCTAGGTACTTTCCATATACAGAGGAAGACCCTTCCCCAAAAGCATGTGGTCTGTAAAAGGCAGAACAAAAGCTTGGGGAAAAGAGGCAAAACACACCCTCAAAGTGAGCAGGATTATGATAGGCATACATTGTCTTAATTATTTAAACCAAAATATATAAAAGCCATCCCCCTGCCCACCAATGTTATCTGTTGTTGGCCCTCAATCCTCAGTCACTTTTAAATGGTTGCCCACTTGCTAAGCCATGCTTCCATTCCATTTTCCAGCAGTGAGCAGGGCACACGCACAATGACACAGGAGGCTGCTCTGTAGATGGTGAAGGTATGATCTTTCCCAATGCTGCTGCAGTCTCTGGGTTCTCAGGTGATGGGGGCCACTGCCCTATGTGGTTGCCCATGGTATGAGTGATCTGGGCCACATCAGCCTGGTTAGCTCCCTCCATCACTGCTGTAGCTGATCTGGCTGCTGCCCTGGAATCTGGCTGCCGTATTCTCGGTGTGATCTGCCCAATATAACTTAAAGAGGGTTTATCATCTCCGTATTCTGTGATAAAATGTCTCTGCCCACATAGCAAAAATGCCCATGCAGTTTTGAACTAGTGTTAATCTGATTTGCTGTTTGCTCTCACCTATGATGGCTCATTTTGAATGCTGTGCATGGTTCTGCATACTGGCTCAGGTTACGCTACAGTAAAGCAATAGTGGGTGGAAACTCCAGCTCTCAATTATAATTTTGAGGCACAGCAAGAGAAGAGTTAGAGGATACCGTCAGGACTGGTGCAGAGACTGGTACATGAACCACTCATTGTATTCATAATAGCTGATGAAAGGAAGCTTTTCTTAGATTTTTAAAAACACCTCTGAAAATTTTACTATAATTTTGTTAGGCATGAAGGGTGGAATATCCTGAATTGCACTAGTGATTTAGGAGAACATGTCCTATTGGAAGTCCATTCCTAAATCACATAGATGCTTTTGAAAATCTCATCCATAGAAGCTTTGGCATAGGCACCTAATTTTTTTCCTCTCTGGCGAGGATAAACTATTTCATGATTGGTTACTTTGTACTTTAACTTATTAGGAGAAAAAGTCAATGTCACTGTTCTGTATAGAGATGAATATCAGTGCTAACCTCCAAAATAAGTAACTTTCTGACTGCCTGATAGAATCTGGTCTGGTCAGATCAGCTGAGAATTGTATACAACGTTTATAATTTGTATCTCCATTTGTGCCATTGCCATTTTGTGTGTTCCACCCTCTAATTTGGACAAGTGGACCAAAACCATAGCATCGTTTTGAAGTGGCTTTTATCCCCACAACAAGTATTTTAAACTGTGTCACAACAGCATTAGAGAAAACCATGTATGAACTTTGCGAGGGTGAGCAGGAAGCAGGTGGGATCTCCCGGGTAGTTCTGATTAAAATAGCTTTGTTATAGTGCTGATACAGCTTCAGATGTTAGCCTCTATGTGAACAATAACATCTGGTCAACTCTGAAATCTTTGTGGCTTGCGGTTCTTGTCAAAGAAATGCCATGGGTACCCACCATATCCTCAACAGATTTCCCTCAGACCTCTGCCATAAACTCATGCAAATGATCAGGCATGCTGGCAGTATTGCTTGCTTTAATACCTGGAGCTATGCATGGAGGATTCCTCAGCCTGTGCTATAAAGAAGCAATTAAACTGTACAATGGCAAGTTTTATAATGGCAATACCAGAGTCTGTCTAACTTCCTGGATTTCAACTTATTTTTCATGATCCTGTTTTTAATCACTATTCCTATTTATTTAGACTGTTTATGCTAAATGAAAATAAAAGCAATATTTGCTTCCTGCATTAGAGGGACATAAAATACAAACCTCTGTGTTTACATGGATTTTTCCTGTGGTTCACTGAAGTCTCAGATCTGCCTTCAGATGTTCCACTTACTCAGAAAAGCAGTTTATTACAGGCATCTGGATGGCTCCAGGGATTGGTAACAGAATGTAGAGCCTCTGACCCTTACGTGTGCAGGTCAGATCCAGCTCAGGTTGGCAGAGAGTGGTCCTCCTGAAGTTCTCACACCAAACACACCAAAATAACTGGCAGTCTACACAGAGAGAGGGTAAGGACTGGATGGGCCTTAATAACACGTAGTGTACTTCCCTTCCTAGAAGTTATCCCCCTAGGTTAGATGTGAGGCACATTGGCACGGTGCACAGAGAAGCCCGCACAGCTGCAGCTTGTCTGTAGCTGTTCTGCAGGAAAGAGAAGGCCTCAATGTCCGTGACTATCACTCTCACATCCTTCCGGCACCCCTAAACATTTTTCACAATTTGCCTGGGTTGCTTACCTGTGGGTGACAGTTCAAGATAACAATTTTGCAGATTCATTCCAACTTCCACCTTGAGTTTTTTCTCCAATCTCTTTTCTGAGCGCTGAAAAGGGGGTGGAGAAAGGTGGGGGCCAGCTAGCTGTAGACATCCTGATCTATTCTCCTTTCAGTTCTTAATGCCAACGGAGTTAAAATGAAATACAAGCTTCCCCCAAATATGTGTATAATAAGTAGATTATCCTGGTTGAAAAAATAAGGCATTTAATCTGCCAAGTGAGCAAAGCTATTTTAATATTAACACCATACTGTTCCTTCTGTAGGACTGAGTAGTAGCTGGCTGCCTTGAGCCACTGCTTTTACGCAAACTTCGCCAACATATGCAATTTCCAAAGCACTGCACTTTGGAGTACTTCTGTAAATAAGGATTCCTTGCCTAGGGAAACAGCATCTTCATGTCAAATCAATAGCTGCTATGTTGTATTTTGTAGTCTATTTCCTTTTCTGTACAAGAGGTTAACTCCTTCTTTTTAAAAAGTGATATGAATGAAACTCATTAAATACAAGATACTGCAGAACATATAAACTATGCACAGAAGAAGTATATTTACACTTACTGCATTCCTCTCCTATGTGGTGACAGTTCAATATTGATGTTCAGGGTGGGAAACAGTTCGGCTCTGATTGCTGGCATCTCTTTACTAACTTTGTTCTTTTAATCTCATGTGTTTTGACACATTATTTAATCTGAAACCTATGAAATGTAAAGCAACACTATTTAATTTACACATTATTGTTTGCAAAGATACTGCACATTATGGTTAAGTGCTTTTTGAATAAGGGTGTGGTGATGAAGGTAAAGTCCTCTCTCCCTGTTGGTGGTACAAGGGGTACAAATTGGCTAACAGTTTTATAAAACCCAGGACATGTAACTGCATTCCCAGGGTGGAGAGAAACTTCACGAAAAGACCAGCCGTGGAAGCTCCTTTTCTCCTTATTATTTTTTTATAGCTCAGCGGGAAGTTATCATCCCCTGTGCTAGTTTCAGGGTCCCTGAGATTAGAACTCCTAGAAAGAAGAGCCGGGGTTTCTTTATGACATTGCTTATAGAAGAAGTGCTGTTTCCCGACGGAAAAGGCAGGCTAATCACTTTGAATTACTGCCATCTCATTAACTGGTGACCTAGTCTTAGCCAATGATTACATGGTGGGTAAAGTGGCTGTAGGCTGGGCTGATTCAGCCTGTGCCAGGACCAGAGACTAGAAGTCAGAACAGAGTTCCTTTAAATTTTATTACAAATAAGGAGCAACGTTATGTGGTCAAGGTGAAAAGATTAACGTTTCTCTCGTCCATTTCTCCCTGAATGCAATGGAGAGGTAGTACTATCAGCCTGATTAAGACTCACCTCCTGGTTCCCCAGTTTTTGAGCTATTAGCTAGAAATACATCTTTGGACTATGCAACATGTTCATCAATGGATAGAAACCCAACACCACTGGGACATGGACAGACCCTGATCATATGCTATAGTCCCATCACATCATAGCCCATAGCCCAATCCCCAAGTATAAGAGATGGGCTAGGCAGAGGTGATGGGTCAATTTCAGCTTTGACTTGCATTGCTAAATTCTAGATTTATACGCTTGCAATTGAGCATTTGGGGCCACAGGCTCTGCCCCTGGAAATTCCCCTAGGAGTTGGTCTGGATGCTGCTTCCTTAGGGCATGCTTCCCCACTCAAGTTGCAGGGCAAACTCTATAGCTGGGGAACTCAGGAGCTCTCAACAACCAAAGAATCTGTTGTGCCCAGGAATGGACGTGGGGGAAAAGCAAACGAGGAGCAAGCCAGCTAAAATGTTTATCTGAATACATTTTAGTGACTAGGGATTTGAAAGGTTTTCTCCGATAAAACTTTAGTTTCCAGAAACAAGTCTTAATTCAATAAGCAATAATGAGTGGGTTCCATTTATGAAGTTAAAACTGACTTCTCCTAGGTATTATTTTGCATTGGTGGCCACTGGGCTTTGGTCACTGACTCATCCAGATATTCATTTTGAGCATGACAATTTGTGCCATGTTAGGGTTGTAGCATTTAAATTGACTTGCACTTTTTTTAACGATTTCATCTTTCTTTTGTTGTTGCTAGGTTATCAAGTACCGTGAATTCTGAGAAAATTGTTCAGAAATAAATTGTCTTTATTTTAAAATTCAAATGGACATGGTTTATACCAAAACAAAGGTTGACAGAGGTTTTATTTAGCAAAGCTGTTACTTTCAAGTTTATACAACCAGATACTTTAATTAATTTTAATTAGCTATTAAAACATATCGCCCTGGGGTCCACGTGCAGATACTGAGGACAGTAATGTGGACACTGCATTTAAGAACATTCTGCAGTATTCTTTCAAACTGGATTCCACAGAAATTAGACAAGTTATAGGTTAACAAAAAACCCTGTAATAGAAGAGAAATTCTCCGAAGTGCATCACTGGGTCCAATGACTCTCTTCTCCCCATCTCACATATCACTCCCTCAAGAATTCTCTATTCTCCAGAGCTTCCCTTGTCCTTCCCAAGGTTCATCTGCTCAGAGTATTTCCTTCCCATTCCCAGACCATTAGCCCTGAAGGCAGTATGGTGCTCTCTCTTTTCTCCATGTAACCACAGCTGAAGCCATACTCAGCAGCAACTCTCTGTTGTTTCACCACTGCTTCTGCTATTGTGTACATCTGCTCATCTCCAGCAGGAGGCAAGGGTGAATGGGTGTTGACAGTCTTCATCATTAGCCACCACTACCTCTCTTTCTAAACAAGTCCACATTTGCATAGAAGTGTGTGTTTCTTAGGGTAAAGTCTACACTTAGGTTGTTTGGAATGTGGCACATACTATTTTCTAGATGAGGAGATACTACTTATCCGTTGAGACACTGAGACCCAATGATTGTTTTAAGGATTATAACTCTATACACTTAAAACCCAAGAGAGGGAACCATGCAACAAAATTCAAATCAGAACATAGAAAGCTTGAAGGTGCTAGCATATTGGTTTGGCCCATAAAATTAGAAATCATTTGCAAAATCAGTATCTGGATCCAGATTTGGATTTCAAACAATCACATAGTTCTGAATCTGAGATTTTATCTTGAGTCCATCTCTACTTAATACAGACATTTTGTAGACTTGGGGCCAGATTCTCAACGCAAAGGAACTATGCCAGTTTACAGCATCTGAAAATCTGACCCCTTGGAGGGGGAGTGGGGGAAGAAGACTGAACATCATTGTTCTTCCCTTTACTGGGATTATTAGGTGCTAAAGAGAAACGAGTAAAATCCCAGCCTTGCTAGCTTTTTAGCTTATAGGTTACAGGGAGCAGCAGGGCACTTTTAGAGACCAGAACTCTCTTATCCCACTTTTAGTTATAACCGATATTTCCTGTAAGGGATACATTTCTTGTTTTCTGTATTTTTTAAACTTTTTTTGTTTCTTTTCTTTATAGGTATGACTTGCGGTAACCCACCAGTGCTAAGCACACAGCCAACTGAAAAGGCGCAGGTATCTTGTGGGTACACTGGAGTCGATAAATTTAAAACAAATGTCTCTATGTTATAGAAACAAGATAGTTCAGGCTGATTTTTGTGTAACAAAGATTTAGTGCTTCTTTTTGTGTTCTGACTTCTGCATATGAACTGTCCTACCCTGTGGGAATGCGATCATGCAGTGAACTGGAGTCAAGCTACTAATTTATTTCATGTAGACCGTCAGGCAGACATAAGATAACAACGACAGTTGTTTGTTTCAAACCGGAAGTCTAGAAGTGAAAGATTATTGCTAATTGAAATAGCCATCCAGTCCTCTAAGGAAGTTTATCTGATATTCTGCTACTGCCTTGTGCCTGGGAGTTATAGATAGTCAGACATGTTGCTTTTGAAATAAATGGCCAAATTCTGGTCTATTAAACCAGGGTAAATTTGGAGTAACTTCACTCTTATCAACTAGTTACTCTGGACTGAGATGGATGGTCCAGTGGCTAGCCTAGCACCCGGCCTGCATTTAAAAGTTTTGCCAGCATGGTTATATCCATTAGGAGTGTGAAAAAAATTACACCCATGACCAACACAGTTATACTGGCAAAACCTCTAGTATAAATGCAGTTATACTAGCAAACAAATCCTATTGCTGGGGCGGCTTATTTCATTAGGGGAACTGGTATAATCTATACTGGTTGCTTTTGAGATAAATGGGAGTTAGGTGCCAATGTGCATTTAAAAATCCCACTAGGCACCTATCTGCATCTTTAGATGCCTAAATACCTTTAAAAATCTGGTCAAAAGGGTATGTCTACACTGCAATTAAAAACCCACTGCTGGCCCATGCAAGCTGACTCAGGCTCACACTAAGGGGCTGTTTAATTGCTGTGTACATGTTCAGGATTGGGCTGGAGGCTGGGATCTGGGCCCTGTGCGGTGGGAGGGTCCCAGAGCTTGGACCGCAGCCTGAGCCTGAATGTCTGCACTACAATTAAACAGGTCTTTAGCCTGAGCCCCGAGAGCCTGATCAGTTGGCACAGGGCAGCTGCAGGTGTCTAACTGCAGCATAGACATGCCCTAAGTGACTTAGGAGACTAATTCTCATTGAAAGTCAATGGAATTTAGGCTAAGTGCCTAAGTCACCTTTGAAAATAAAACTTAGGCTCTTAAATCATGTAGGCTTGCAACACTGAGCAGAGCAATACCTAAATACCTTAAAAATTTAGACCTTAGTATTGCTGTGCCTCAGTTCCCCATCTGTAAATGGGGAAAATAGCACTGCCTTCCCTCCCAGGGGTGTTGAGACAATAAATGTATTACAGATTGTATTATATCACTCAGGTACTGTGATAATGGGGGGACTTATGTAAAGATAAAATGTAACTTATACATAAGGTAACTTTAACTGTAAATATAATCCTAAACAGCATTTGATACTGTGTGTTGTCCTATTTTTATGCCCTCCTTAATCAGCTCTCTCACACACTGCTGTAGCAGTGGAGGTTGCTGTGGCCTTAAATAGGGAATGTAGACAGTGTCCTTCAAAATGGTGTGAATTTAGCATGTAATTTGGGATGAATTAGTTTCAATGCACTTCTGAGAGGTAGCTTGGTAGGAAGATGTATAGATAAGTACTCAGTGCTCCTCTGTTCCAGTTGTACTATAGTAAAACACAAGTCTGCATGTGGGTCCATTTTTTAATTCATCACTTGATTTTATGGAGCATTGCATGGTATTTTCACCAATTAGCATCTGACAGCAGTTAGTTAAGGACTACAAGGGTATGTGAGGAAAAAGGGGGATATGATCTATTTTGTAGTCACTGGCTCACCATTTGATAGTAATACCCTCGGAGGTTTCGGATAGTAACCAGCAGTTTCCAAGCTATTTGAGGAAAATCGGGTAAATCTATAATCCAGTGGTAAATCTGAAAGAAAGAAACATACCACATTCTGATTAGTTACACAGCCCCTATCACATCCAAAAAAAGCCTGTGATGAATAGCAGTACATATCTTTTTCTTAAATCTTTGAGCTTGTGTGTTCATTGGTATTAGAACGGAATCAGACAGCATGACTACACACTTGTTTGATGTCTTCAGCCACCTTACACATTGGCATTAAGGTGTTTACTTAACTTAAGTTTGATACTGGTAGCTTTGTTCCTTGATCACTGCGGTAATATACAGTCACAAGAATGCTGAAAATTATTTTAAAACAGAACCAAACATTTGCAGCATCTACCATTTAGGAACAATTACAAATTCTTGTTTGAAATCACCACTCCTTTGTCTTCTTTCAACAGTCTGAGCCTCAGAAAGTTACCATTCCAAACAAGCGAGAAGAAATTGTGAAGTCCATCAGTTTTTGTTTCACAGCTATTGTTGTAAGACTCTCAAAATGCACCCAAACTTAGATAGGGTTGCACAGAGGTTTTGGGGGCCCTGGGCAAAATCTTAAATTGAGGCCCTCACCCTTCTAAAAACTATTACCATTGAGACAAAAGAGTTTAAAAAGAGGGGAGGGCCCAGGCCTGTAGGGTTGCTACCTTCCCTGTGGGGATGGGGGAAAGCTGCCCTGCGGACAGCTGGGAGGCCACACCTGGTCCTGCCTCTCCTGGAGCTCTGGTCCCACTGTTAGTTGGAGTGGTATCCCTGATCCAGCTCCCACCTTTCATTATTTTGGGGGCCCTCTTGGGAGGGGGGGACGACTAAGGGCAAACTGCCCTTTTTGCTCTGCTCCCTCATCATTCTCCTCCTCCTCCCCCACAGCAGCCTTGACCTTAGATATTCTTTCAGGCTGATTTAATAAAACTTTCATTTTCTATCAGGGCTTCCTAGGAATCCGAATTTCTGACTGGGAAGGGGTTAATCATCATTCTTATTGTATGAAGAATGTTGAATAAATGAAAATCTCTCTCTAATCTGTAAAAGCTCTCTTTTGTGCATCCTTGCTATTTAACCCTACTGCTAGCTAAGTCCTTCTCAGCGGTGTTCATATTTAATTAGAAACAGAAAAATAAATAGGAAAAGGTACAATGTCAACTTCTATTAACAAGAAAATGGTGCTTTCCTACCATTCAAAATTAAAGAAACCAGAGCTAAATTTTAGCTCTTCAGTGTATTGGCTGGTAAGGAAAAGAGTTACCAGTTAAGCTTATCTCTGAACAGTTGAGTTACAAGACTGACAAGTCTTATTCTGGAGTGCGGTAGAGTGCCAATGTGCATTTGAAAATCCCACTAAGCACTTATCTGCATCTATAACCAGATACAGAGGCAGCATTCAGAGCTACAGCTTTAAGGTTATACTCAACCACAGGTAAAATTAACACATTAGTATTTTAATCCATTCTAGAAACTATTAATAAAATCATATGTATCAGGTTACATAGTGGAAACATAGTAGTACCCCACATTTTGAGAGCGCAAGACCAAATTCTGCCTTCACTGACAACTCATGTACTCTTAATAAGTACCTAGCAGAGAATACAAAAGAGTCAGTGAAGGCAGATATTGATCTAGTATGTGTAACAGATGTCTAGAAAAGTAAACTTTTTATAAATATTTTACTGAAGAATAATTAACTTTACAGAGATCTTTATTGCACACATACCACAAAATTCAGGTTCAGAATTATATACTGGAGTTACAGTTAAACCATATAAATAGGAGAAAACAATTATAGAAAATAATAGAGAATTATAAAAGCAGTAGCAGAAGGAGAAAGGTAAAGCAGAAAAGAAATATAGGTTTTAAGATGAGACTGAATTGTAATTAAACTGTATTACTAAGAACAGCTTTGTTGTTTTGATGGAACATTCATGATGGCAAGATACTTCGGACAAGATTTCCTCCAGAAAGGGGAAAGTATTTACAGTAATAGTAAGTATTAAATACATTTTGTGCCTTTAATTATAAAGGAATGCTTTGTCAAGGATTAAATAATTAGGTCCAACTGTTGCCTTAATTTGCAATACATGCCATACGATCCCTCCACACTTCCTGACTGGGGCTGCTGACACTGACAACAATCCTGCTTTGGAAAGCAGAATTCTTACACATTTCAATATCTTGTTGCTCCTAGGACCAGAGCAGTCAGAGTGGAGGATATGTGTCATCAAAATGTGCAGAGGCAAACAAACCTGGTGTACTCTTGTTTAGGTTGGGCAGGGAGTTCCAAAGGGTGGATGGGTTTTTCTTTATGTTCCAGTCTTTATTTCATACAGGATGATAGAGTTGCTTTTATTTTTTCAGGCTCTGGTATCCTGGCCCAATTCCAACTCAGGTATTTAATTCTGTCTTTCTGTGTTCACCCTACAGATGGATATAATGGTGATTGCTTCCTGTCCCTAAACTGTTGCTCTGCCATATATTTACTTTTTGTATTTACAATGAATTTAATCAAAAATTGTTCCCTCTGTCACCTGAATGTCTTTAACAATCAATCATCTAATCAACCAATCAATCATTGAGATACCCATTCCCTGTGTGTCCTTCTCTTCTGTCCCTTTTTCCTCTGCACTCTTTACTATGAATCTGATGAAGTGAGCTGTAGCTCACGAAAGCTCATGCTCAAATAAATTGGTTAGTCTCTAAGGTGCCACAAGTACTCCTTTTCTTTTTGCGAATACAGACTAACACGGCTGTTCCTCTGAAACCTTTACTATAGTGTATTCTTTTTTTTAGTTTGCCTTCATTTTCATTGGCCTGTTTTCCTTCCAGCTGTGAAACCACCCTTGTAACATGGGTTGGTAACACAAGATGTAGCTCTCATAGAATCACAGAGCTGGAAGGGACCTAGAGAGGTCATCTAGTCCAGTCCCCTGCACTCATGGCAGGACTAAGTATTACCTAGACCAGTGGTTCTCAAAGCCGGTCTTCCGCTTGTTCAGGGAAAGCCCCTGGCGGGCCGGACCGGTTTGTTTACCTGCCGCGTCCGCAGATTCGGCCGATCGCGGCTCCCACTGGCCGCGGTTCGCCACTCCAGGCCACTGGGGGCTGCGGCGCGGGCCAAGGGACGCGGCAGGTAAACAAACCGGTCCGGCCCGCCAGGGGCTTTCCCTGAACAAGCGGAAGACCGGCTTTGAGAACCACTGATCCAGACTATTCCTGACAAGTGTTTTTTAAGAGCAGGTTAGACAATCTTCAATGATGGTGATCCCACCACCTCCGCAGGCAATTTATTCCAGTGCTTAACCACTCTTGACAGTTAGGAAGTTTTTCCTAATGTCCAACCTAAACATCCCTCACTGCAATTTAAGCCCATTGCTTCTTGTCCTATCCTCAGAGGTTAAGAAAAACAATTTTTCTTCCTCCTCCTTGTAATAACCTTTTATGTACTTGAAAACTGTTATCATGTCCCCTTCTATCAGTCTTCTCTTTTCCAGACTAAACAAACCCAATTTTTTCCATTTACATACTTGAAGACTGTTATCATGTCCCCCCTCAGTCTTCACTTTTCCTAACTAAATAAGATTTATTTTATTTTTGTGCCTAGCTTAAATTCTAGACAAATTCATTTACAAATACATGTGGTCAAAAATTTCAAATCGGGGTGCCTTAAGTTAGGCTCCTCAATCCATATTTAGGTTTCTATATATAAATGTCATGAATTTCAACGATATTGAGTTTCTGCAGCTCCTACTGGCTTCAGTGGGATATGTAGATGCTTAGCAATTCTGAAAATAAGACCAAATGTATATTTAGGTGCCTAACTATGGAATTTTAGGAGTCTTACTTCTGGCAGTCAGGTTTGAACATTTTGGCCAAAATCCAATTTATAATAAATAAACAATTACAGATGAATGCCCTTATAAATCATAGAGATTATAATCAGAGACACACATGAATAAATACATAATGAAATAAAGCCCTGACACGGCCCCACAAACTTCAACCCCCTCTCTTCTCAAAGAACTCAGGTGAAAAGGTGGGATTTTTTTTTTTTTTTTTTTTTTGTAGACTATACTGAGCTATCCCAGACCAGAGGAGGGAGTAAATTCCAGAATCAAGGGGCCTTGTGTAATAACTGGGTCTTCAAATTTACCCTAATTGTGAGCTCAACTATGAAAAGTGAGTTGAAGTTCATAAAATGTCACAATAACCTATAACAATGAATGTGGAGAAAAGGTGCAAAAGGGAGACAAAAAGACTAGGTTAATCCAAACAAAAAAGCCTACTGATATAATTCAAGGACTGTGTTAAAATCATGCCTAGTAAACAAGAGAAGTGTGGGACCAGAAATCAGTGACTCAAAATCAGTGTGTCGGAAATGACATCTAATTGGTGGACAAAATAGTGAGGAAGCGGGCTATTCTACTCATCACTTCCTTTTGGGGTCCTTAAAAAGACACTTTGGGGATGAGGAAATAAGGACAGGTGGAGGCAAAACATAGGGGTGCTCTGGCTGACTGAAAGACAAGAGAAGGGGAAGGAGCAAGTCTCATCATCATGGCTGTTACCCCCACCTTCTCCTGGGGCCTTGGACCTTCATGTTATAATCCTGAGAAATGTACTGACCAGACGGGGCCAGAGAGAGGACTCAGATGACACTGCCACTCAACTGGCTTTGGCTAAATCCCAAACATCACCTGGGATGTGAAACTTTGTTTCTCTGTCACTCCTGCCACGTGTCCATTTTCTTCCTCACCTTATTTCTTCTTTTTCCTATCCCTCTCCTATTTGCCTTTCTATAAGAGTCTCGATTAGGCTGCCAAGACTGTATATTTTGCAACACTGCTGAAAGCCTGAGATCAGAAAGGCAGCAAAATGTAATGCCCTAAATAGATCGATGCTGGTACAAATTTGCCAGATTTCAGAGTAGCTAATAAGACTGTGTGCTGTGCACGTGTTCTTCCAGGCTTCAAGTGAAAATCAACACTAGAAACAGAGGCTGCATATTCTCTCTTTGCTGTTCTTTTCTTTCCCGT